TATATATATATATATATATATATATATATATATATATATATATATATATATATATCAAAAATTATCGAGATATTAATTGTAGAAAATTTGCGAATGATTATGTAGAATATGGTAAATGAGTTATAATAGCGACGACTGCCGTCGTGTACTTATATTTTAGGTCAAATTAAACAAAAAAGTCCTCTACCATTTTGCAAATAATCACATAAATTTTTAATTATAAATTAAAAAAGGTTATTGCACGATTTTGCGTGATAATGCACTCATCTTCTTTAATTAATAATTAAAAATCTATGTGATTATTTGCAAAATGGTAGAGGACTTTTTTGTTCAATTTTGTTTTTAACCAAAAAGTTTTACAATCATTTAATAAAGCTTTTTTTGAAATATCTGATTAATGGAACACATGTTTTGGACACATTGGAACTGGCATACTGAAATTTTTCTCATTCACGTTTATTCACATTCCGTAAAAGTGTTAATAAAAATCTATAAAAAATAATAAGGCGAATAAAATAATTAATAGTTTCAATTTTTGCGATGTACAATGTATTATAATGTCGCGTGCGCGCGCGATTTTATAAAAATTATTACAAAGATTAACTATATTATTCTTTTTTATTCATGATTAGAGTTTGACAACAATCTTGATTACATATAATATAGTCAAACAAAATAAGCTACTTACTTATAAATCTTTTTTTATATACCATATTTCATGTAAAGATCCGAAAAATAACAAAAATTTTACTTTACATCTTTATTTTATATGTTTTGATATCTTTTAATCTGATACACTGGTAAAAACCACCTCATAGCAACTTTATTTTTTTGATACATGACAAGCAATTGAAATAGCCCAGCAATAAAAGATGAGATATTAAACCTCAAATTTCTCCCTCTTCCATCAACTATAACTTTTTATATCGTAATCCGAAAGTTCTCATTCCGTTAGTTTGGAGGTAATTCAAAATTATAAGTCGAGTAGGGTCGAAAATGACCACAATGTGCTAGATGAAGGTTAATATAATTTTTTTCGAAATACTTTTTGAACCTTTTCGTTGCATCACTCTGGAATTCTGTTTCGTTGGGAAATGATTGAATCGATCGTAGTTAGGTAATTTAAACTCGAAGTAATTTAAATGTTCATTCTTCTAATCAAAGAGCGCTCGATATTGCTTAATCCCGAGAGACTGTGATTATAATAGTACAGCCTAAAGAGCCTTGCAGTAATAGCGTAACGAAGATCGAACACTTGGTCCAAGTCAAAAGCAATGAATCTCGAGCTTGTTGCGGAGATCGGGGGCCGAACGGGAAGAACGAGAAGAAAGGAGGGCGCCCTATTCCTCAAGTATACGGTAGTGACACGTTACCATTATCGCGCCTCGGCGGCTAATGAGAGTTCGTGCCGCCATTGTTTCCGATCTACGTCGGGCAAGACGCCGTAGCGGGCTTAATGAATCTGCGAAATTAAGCTTACAAAATGTTAAACACGGCTAATATTATCACACTTATCGGCAAGAGGCAGGGAGGGCAATAGAATTTATTACGCGCTCATGAAGTGCGCCGTAAGTTCGCGCGCTCGTAGCAAATCTATGTTTCCCCGTCCTCGCTCCCTCCCGTCGTCGTCGTCGTCGTTTACGTCTTTCTATATCGTTCCGATCGATTAACGGGAAATTGTTGTTACGCGTTATGTTGCAGGTCTGGTTTCAAAATAGACGAGCCAAGTGGCGCAGGCAGGAGAAGATGGAAGCCGCGAGACTGGGCTTGAGCGAGTATCATCACGCCGCCAATATGAGGTTTGTTGGTTGCTCTCTGAATTTCTTGGAGTAAAATTTCACTCAAAAAGCAGGGCGACAGTCGAGTCACTCGAATTCGAGTGATTCTTCATTTGAGAGAATGATTTTTCATTTTCATAGAGTAAATTCTCCATTCTAAATCGTCGAATGAATACCTTCACTCGAAATTGAAGGGTGAATCTGATGTACTCTTCTGTCAGTGAAATATATCCTATTCAATCCATCGAAACATTCTCTCATATCGAGTCAGAATCCAGCCTACTACTGTGTCCAAAAAGTATAATAAGACCAATTTAAAAATTTTTTTTTTAATCTTTATTTATTATTCCAAATCTATTTCGTCGCCTTCAAAGTAATCCCCCTCAGACACAATACACTTATGCCAACGTTTTTTCCAACCCTACGGTTGGAAACCGTATTACGTGATGCATATAAACCCACCATCTCACACTGCATTGGTTCTTCGAGACCATTTCGCTAAAAATTCGACCCATATCGTTCCACAACCACCACATTCACTTGATTTAGCATCGTGTGACTTCTGACTATTCCCTAAACTCAAAAGATCGCTCCGGGGACACCGTTTTGACTCGATTGAAGAGATACAAGCTAAATCGAAGAAAGCTTTGAAGGCCATTCCCGGAAATCGACTTCAACAACTGTTTCGAGGGTTGGAAAAAACGTTGGCATAAGTGTATTGTGTCTGAGAGGGATTACTTTGAAGGCGACGAAATAGATTTGGAATAATAAATAAAGGTTTAAAAAAAAATTTGAAATTGGTCTTACTTTTTGGGCACAGTAGTAAGTTTGAGTAAAACGTAGTATTTTTACCATCGTCTTTTCACTCGTTTGGAGCAAGATTCTACTCCAAGAAATTGAAGAGTACACTTGATGACAATCGAGGAGCGCGTAAACGATCTCCACGTGTGTAGGGAATGTCGCGACGGCTACATCGCGGAGATATTTCGCTTTTCAGAAACGTCGCCGGCCCGGCGCTGGGTCTGCCGGGAGATCCATGGCTCGCGCCGCCAGGATTGCTGAGTGCGCTACCCGGCTTCCTCGCAGCACCTCACACAGGATATCCCAGTTATCTAACGTCTCCCAGGCGATTACCGTCGCCGCCGAATGTCGGCGCCGTGGCTAATCCCGTTCCAGGTAACGACCGTCTCCGCGCGCACCTCTCGCTTTTCTCCGGTCTGATGTGTCCGATTTAAAAGCGGGAGCTTTTGATACGCCTAACGTCAAAATTCAATTCGAGTTAAAACGGTCGGCCCCGCTGCATTCCTCGCTTCCCTCCGGTCTGATGTGTTCGATTCCAAGGGAGGCCCGACACGCATAACGTGAGAATGAAATTTCGAGCGAAAACACGGGATCGCGCGAAATGCAACTGTAAGATAAGAGTTACTTTCTGTCGAGAGAATTTTACGTCAGTGTGTGTGTAGAGCTAAGATATTTAATATTTAAGATACTTAATATATGTTAATATTAGAGGTTGGTGCAAAAGATCATTTCTCTATTAAATTTTTTCTCAGAGGGAGCTTAGATATTAACATTAGAAAACCCTTGACGATTAACGACTTATTTCTTATATCAGCGGGCGGTCAAAATGACAGGTTTTTGAAGAAATATGTAATGCAAGAGGAGGAAATATTTCTTTTTCAGATTCATTCAACGTCAGCTAAAGGTATAAAATACGCCGTTATAGATTTGAGTAACTTTTATGAGAAATTACAAACCTATCATTTTGACTACTTTGATAGTTCTTGTGTTGAGACACGAAGGAAACACTAGGATCTTATTCTGAACTCTGTTGTATTAATAAAAGTGTTTCTAAATATAACTTATAAGTCTTCTAATTGACTTTCTAAACGTATTTAGAAATACTATCGATAAAAAAGAATTCACAGAATAAGAGTCTAGCAATGTCATTTAGTTAAGTGTAATTGCCGTAACAAAATATTAGTGTTATTTTTTATCTGTGCGTACCAAAGGTTGCAGAAACCATAGTACTCTGGAAGTGATACACTGGCTTTTCTTGTTAATATATATTTGAGTGGAACTTGTATACGTATTTAAGTGCTATATAACACACAGAAATCCTAAGGATCTCTCAACTATAGAGAGTGATAGCGTATTTTCGCCACTTTCAAAGTGGCAATCAGAGTCATTTGTGTCTTTTCTGATTTTTCATTCTTTGAGATGCTCGAAAAAATCCCTAAAAATTATAATATTAAAATTTCCTTTATCTTTCTGGTTGAAGATTACATAGCTTATCTGTGAAAAATGAATTGTTAAGTATATTCTAACAATTCTTTAACAAAAATGCTCCGAGAAATAAATACTTCTTAAAATCTTCCATAAATGACTCTGGTTGTCACCTGGAAGAACAGTAGAATGGCCTGTCCAGTATGAAACACTCAAAGCCTGTAAATAAACACTTAAGCACTAAATTTCAATATCAACAAGCAAAGCAAGATTAATCTTCTGCAAGATTAACCTTCTTTTTTGACATAATTATTTAATTTGCCAGTTATCTCTAGTTATTCATAAAGTCATATTTGAAACATGAAGTACGCCACATACTTTATTATTATAATAAATAAAGCAAACTTCATTCGCTGAGTGGTGTTTAGTTATTGGATAAGTTACTACCCGTTCTGCCACAACAGAGAGATTGCAATATTCTTCGAGTTCAAGCAATTACACTTGAGAACGTACCAATGGACTATTACGCGTTACAAGAACTGTGAAAATTGTACAGATAAATATATAGCAGCGGCAATTTTCAATGCAATGTCTATTTAACTTGAATTCACATAAATTTCTTTTCTAACTACAAAAAATATGGTTGCAGCAGGCATAACGGTTTTTTCCGTGAAGATACACAAGAAGTCCTCATTAGATGTTTCAGAAAATACCAAGCTCAATAAAATTATTACATGATCTTTCGCAATTAGATAATTTTGTTTCCCTATTTGACCAACACGACAAACCTTTTGCACCAACTTAATATATGGAATATCTAAATTATCACTCGGCACGTAAACATAGAGAGAAGAACGAACTCGTACACCAAGATCGAGATTAAATAAAGTGATAGTTTAGACATTCTACAAGTAGAGATAAAGGAAGAGAGGGGACAGTTCCAAAAACCGGCAATCTCGATCGATTCTTCCTCCTTCGTTCGAACTTGCGGTACTCTTGATTCCACGGGTGTGTACAGCACTTTCTCTGTCGCGATGCGAGGGCAGATTGACGAGTCAATTAGCGCGATCACGCTTGTCATGATCGTAGTCGTCGTCGTCGTCGCCGTCGTCGTCGTTGTCGTAGATGCCCAACAACGACACGTAGAAATCGCGCTGTTCGCAGGGTCCCTAGCCAGCAGCATGGCGAGCATAAGCGCCGGCGGCCACGTGCAACCACCGCCGCCGAGTCCGCCGGGGCACGATCCTCGCACGACGAGCATCCAGGCGCTCAGGATGCGGGCCAAGGAGCACGTCGAGAGCATCACCAAAGGCCTGCAGATGGTCTGAAGGTTAACCTAGGATTCGCCAAGGGCGCGCACCGCTGTCAACCGCACCGGCCTCGTGCTCGTGACGGCGTGACGAGGGGAAGCGAGCAGCTCTTCGCCCAGACACTTCTAGACCCCGGAAAATCGGCCGAAGAGGAACAGCGGCATGTCGACCGACTAGAGAGGAAGCGAGAGAAAGAATCGAGAAGCAGGACAGAGAGAGAGAGTTCATTCCGCGCGACGGGTGAGAAGCGGATCCACCGACAGTGCTGGACGCCAGGGCGCTTCGCGCGGAAGAGGATGATCGTCGAACGCGGCGGGTAGTCCTGATGATTGCGAGAAGGTCTCGCGCCGGTAGCTACCAAAGGAATGATTCGCCCGGTGATCATCGGTGAGGACGCGTTGAACGATCACGAGGTCCGATGTGCCGCGACGATCGGTGGGTGTATCTTCGACGATTGTAGAGACTGTCGGTGTGATAATCGATGCAGGTACCTACGATCGACGAGCATGTGTTCATGGTTGGGAATGGGCTAACTCGTTGAGGTGCACACTCGTGGGAGAGTTCCGACGTCGGGGAAAAATCGAGTCTTTCGCTCGAGGCAGTGCGGAAGCGCTGGATAAGTAACAAGGGCGTTTGAATAAACAAGAGAGAAAGAGGGAAGGAAAACATGTCTCGCCAGAGACGGCCGCGAGTCTCAGGGTGATGTTCACAGTCGGGTCTCTTGTGCTTAAGATCATCTTAACCCGGCTAGAAATTTATCCTGTGATCCTGATCAAGTTGATCACAATCTGGCTTGTATAAAATGATGTTGTCGAGTCCTAATTGTTCACTCTTTAAGACTCAGTGTACATAATTATGTACATTCACTTTGAGTTCTCTTCAGACTTTTTATATTGCCAATTTACTGATCTTTCGATACATTATTATCTATCCATCCTAGATAGAGGATATCCTTCTTATATCCTTCTCCCCAAACAGCGTAAAACAGTGATTTTCCCGCTGAAGAAACTAATATGGCGATCGCGTGCAAAGCGAAATTGTTAACGCTCGAAATTGTGTAAAGTTTCTCACGGAAGAAAGTAAGCAAATTATATGTTCTCAATTTTTTATCAATGTCATCTTAAAGTGCAAGATGGCACTTTTATATTCATTATCGTGATTATAAGGTTTATTAAATTTTCTAGCTGAAGCATACGTGCAAATGGGAATGTAGAATAATTATGTAGATTCGGAAAATCGTATTTTTCGGCGATTAATTTTATTTAGACCACGAAATTCTTCATCAGGGACATTTTTAAGATTATTTTATAAAAAAATTGTACTCGCGGGATCAATGCCTGGATCTTGAAGAGTTAATAAGACTCTGATTATTTGAGCTCTAATAATGTTGGATCTAAGACCTGAAGGAATATTCAATCACTCACTTGTGTAAAGAATCCGGGGAAAATCCAAAATAGTTCAAATACGTTTGTAGGCTTGATTTTCTTATGCTATTATCTTCCAGTGAAGACTTTTCTATATCTTAGGAAAAGAATGTGTTTAAAAATATTGATTTTCTACAAAGTTATAGTTGTTCAAAGTTACTTGAATCTGACAGATCCAAATTTTAATTGTACGTTCTAAGAAATGTTAATCCTCATTGTGTGATTCATGGGTTATTTTAGAGATAGTCAAACAGTCAATAATTCTATGCTTTCTTTCGTGATTTGTGAAAAAATACAGACATTGGACATTTTAAAATAAAACAAAAACTTTGAAAAATAAGAACAAAATTTGTCTCGCGATTTCTTCTCTCTCTATATATTTCTTGAACATAAGAAGAGAAATGATACTGCTGAGAGATAAAGAGATCACGCCGCGTTAGAAGAAAACAGCGAATCACATACACAGAGTGATAATCAAGATCTTATTAATAATTATTATTAATAAGAAATCTTGATTATCACATTTAGTTACAAAGCTTATCAACACCTGATAACATCATCTTATACAAACCAGATAACTGATTAGGGTTCTGACTGAACAATGGAATAAATTTTTAGTCAGAAAGTTCACCTTCAGATGCTACGCGAATCTTTTCATTGCAGTGTCTGAAGATGAACTTAAGACGACCTTAAATATAAGGTCGCTATATGAATGCGGCCCTTAAGGGGATGCTGGAGTCGATGACGTACTCGAGCAATGTCGATAATGCAGAGACGATCGTCACTAACATAACCACGCTATCTTTTTCGTATTTCTTGTATATATAGAATTTACATGAATGTGTATTGCTTTGTTTTATCATACTCAACGGAAAACCTAGCCATATATGTGTAGAAATTTTTCTGCAAACTTTTTCGATATTCTTAAGCTTCCAAATGCGAATGCGAAGGTAGAGCAATGTTCTTCAAAATTTTTCTGCTTGAAGCATCCACAATTTCGGTATGTACAAGCTGCGGGACTTTTGGATTAGGCAAATATTACGCTAACTGAGCTTGAGATTTTACATTAAAAATTTTTTATTCGTTTTCGATACATATCGAACAAGGCTCCTATTTACTTTTGCACATATTTTCATTACGCAAAAGCATTTGTAATTCTGTATAACCAATACGACGTAAACTTTGCAGAAAAGTATCAGTGTTCTGTCGGTAAAGTTTTTAGCTTCAGCATCCCCTTAAGACCGTTTTCCTTTCGGACGTTTGCGTTGTTGCGGCGTGACGCTTCTGATATCATTGACGACGGTAGTCGGAATAGCGGACCGGTAGATTCAGGCTCACGTTCACGTTCAAAGCGCCGGCTAAGCAGAAATATTCCCGGGCGGATCGCGCGCGCGCGCGAGTGGCGGTGCGCGTGAAAAAAATCGCGCTCGGGCCTCGCTCTAAGTCGGCATTGTGCAATAGACGAGTGGAATTGTTACGTTGCGCGAAACTCTTGTCGTATAGTCGAGGTGTGGGCGTAAAATATGAGGATAGATTGATTCTTATCGTTTACCGTATACCGCGACTCGCCGCCTTACCGCGAATACTCGTGTGCCGAGTCTCGCGCTCTGTTCTCAAAAAAAAAAGAAGAAAAGGAGAAGAAGGAAAAGAGCGCCCCTTAAAAGCGGAAAGAGAAAATATTCGCCCCCCTCCAGTCGCGGCTCTGAGTGAATATTTTCGAGGCGCCTAAATATTGGATCCGAGATTGGGAATTATAACGCACGTGTGATTTCGTTGTCGCAGGACACAGAGGTAAACATTGCCTAATTTTATAAAGCGAATATCGCGCTGATGTACATCAATCGCCGCGCACACAATGACAGTCAATTTAAGCTTGTTTCTAGATCCTCTCCCCCCATCTGCCCCGTTAACGAATTCATTAATATATGTGATTGTGAAACTATGAAATACAAATGCGGCACACGGTGCATTCCGTGTGTACACACATACACACATACACACGTACACACGCGCGCGCGCGCACACACATACACACACACACATACACATCCCCGACGCAGTTATGATAATTCAGTGATAATAGAACTAGCCGACGCGAAACCTTTCATAAAGTAATCGTATCACCTCACGGCCATTAAATATGCGAACGGATGTTAAACGGATCGATAAATTAGTGTTGATCTACGTATGGGATATTTAAATTATCACTTGCTATACGTAGGGCAGGTCGGGTAGTTGGGTATGTCGGCCATATGCTTTGTTTATTTATTTATCGTGAGAGGAACAACGGAAATGAAATTGTGAAACGTTACTTTTACAACATAGGTACTCTGTTTTGCTCAAATCGGAATAATATTACAGTTAAAATATTGAAAAAAACTGATGTAAGAGCCAACAAATATATTCGCGAACGCCTCAAAATTTGGTATTAATATTCTTCATTGTGTTGAGTGAATAAACTTGAATAACATATTACTACAATAGTGAGAATGAAATTTTCTGCGAATGTATGATACACTCTGTTTCGGACAATAGAAGCAATTTTCAGTCATAAAATAATCAAAATCGAGCCTGACGAAGTGGAGTTGGCCACTATTTAAACCGACAGAGATGTGGAAACCTCTCGCGGAGAAATCTCGGAACTTTCAATCTACTGATTAGGAAATTACTAATCAGGATACATATTTTATAAGTGGCTTTCTTACTCCCTGAATTACTAGCCAACTTGACCCGGTACAAGCATAAGATGGTCACGTTGCAGTATATTCGCATACTTTAATTATCAAAATATACGGTTTCTAGAATCGTTATGGACATAAAAATATAGAGGAAGGTTGTCTTCTATCACAACAATGTATATTTAATCACAACAGTTAAGGCCGATTATTCCAACTTCTAAATTAATTGATAGTTAAATCATCTGTTTGTTTTTGTCTAAATTGAAAGAAAAACAGACACATGATTTAACTGTCAGTTAACTAACCAAAATGTTGGAACAACCGGCCCTCAGTTGTCCGAGAAGTTGCAACTTCGGAATTCTGAAAAGTGTACCATCTTCCTTTAAATGACGTAAAAAGATCAATGAGATATTCCGGCGCTGTCACTTTCTATCGCTCATCTATCTGGATCGCGTATAAAGTGATAGTTTAGACGTCCCGTATGTAGAAAGGAAAGAGAGAGAGAGAGAGAGAACGGTTTCGAAAACCGTCGCAATAAACGCGAACGGAATCTCGACCGTCTCTTTTTCCTTTGTTCGAGCTTGTACACGCTCTACGTTGTGTTGTTCCGTTTATCGCCGTTGAAGTGCAGACGAAAGAGCAGACAAGCGATTGTTTCGATGGGATTCGCAGCATCAGTTGGTTCATAATGAACGCGCCTGCAAGCCACGTAAAGTAATAAGTCCCGTACTCCTAATCGTTACTTGAAATTCGTCTTAATATATACTCGGATTTGAAACTCAAAGTTACATGTGAATTTCTCAGTTGAATAACGACTGCAGATATAATATCAGATATATCGTACGGATAAAAACTGAGATAAGTCGGATCACTCCTAACTCTAAATAAAAATTGGAGTATCTCGCATGAGAGATAAGTTTCCAGTGTAATTATTAATACGGTCGTATTAATTAAGACTCGTAATAATAGTTGTTACCTGAAGCTTGTCTCATGTGAGATGTTCAGATTTTTATTTAAAGCTGCATCCAAACCTTCAAAAACATATAATCTTATTTAAAGCATAAATCCTCTTATATATAATCTTAAGAGGGTTGTGTTCCCTACCAAAAAAAAAATATTCTATACCCAAAGAAGAACTTTAGTTGCAAGGTGCTATTTCCTGCAATCCCATTCTAAGTAAAAACATACTCTAAGTAACTAAAAGTATACTCCCATATTCTAAGTAAAAACTTATTCAGGAATAACAATATTCCTATTCTTATGGAAGGAAGTTAATCAGAAATCTATTAGGGTGCTAACCACCCAAGTTTTTCAGTTGAATTATGATATGTGTGACATTTCTATCTGTAATTGTGTGTGTATGCGATGCAATCGAAAAGAAACTCTCTTCTAATTCTCTGAATTTGAGGCTGAGTACCTCAGTTGAAACAAGTTCCAAGTAAGAACTATTGATATTTGAAATTTGTCCTCCGTGAGGTACTCAGATTTGAACTTGGAATAAGATTTAAGTTTTTTTTTTATTTTATTTTGATCATATAACACATGTGACATTGCATCTGTACTCTGCAAACCCAAGTGTGTGATTTTTAAACGCATAAGCGTGTAATTTGGCTGAAACTCTTCTTACACATGTTTTACGATCACGTCATTTAACACATTTAAACGTGTTAAGTGACTTTGAACGTGTAAAAGAAGATTCGACCAAATATTCAACCAAAATAACACGCTCGGATTTGCAGTGTAATCGCGATTAAGCTGAGAAACTCTCATCTAACTCCGAAGTCGAATCCGAGTGTTCCATTTGAGAGATGAGATTCGAGTAATAACTATTAATGCGGCCGTAAGTGTCTCAAGCGACGCGACACCCAAGCGGAGCGACAAGCGAGAAAAGGACGCGCTGTTGCTTGATAACGACGATGTACCTTAAAGAAGAAAGAAAAAAAGATATCCATAGACCCGACACAGCGTACCGATCGAGTCGAGTACAGCGGCTCCGTCGCGAAGTGTGTTTCCGATTCGCGCTCGTCGGCCGAATGTCTCTCCTCGCGATTCGAGGTAAGTTGCGTTCAACGTTTTCGTAGCAGAATACGCGCTTTGGCCGAGATCATCCGCGCCTCGGTCAAACGTAAGAAGCCGGAGAAGAACGCCCGGATCGTCGGCGACGATCGCGGGCCCGACGGCCCGACCGTTCCGTCGGCGAGAGAACTAGCGAAATATCTTGTAGAATATAGAGCGAAGAGACGCACGGAGGCGTGGGAGAAAAAAAAAAGAAGTGGATTTTGACATAAAACAATATTCTGCAGTATTAATACGTTAAGGCAAAGGATTGTGCATATTATTTAGATCGCCGTCGCGGTATGTAAATTCCGGAGAGCGCGGAGGAGGATTCGCCGCACGCGTTCGTGTGACTCGCGGTTCGCGATACGCAAAATCGCAAGGCGTGGAATGTCAGTCCTTTTTTCCAGTATAAAGCTCCTTTGACTTTGATCAATTCCCCAATTGGTGTGATATCACTTCCCGCTCCCATGACTATTTTTATTTTGTCTGTCAGATCGTCGCAAAAGATTTGTCATTTTCCTGATAAACTCCCGCGGGAAACTTGGACGTTAAAAGGAAAATACAAAGTCCTCGTTGGATTTCGATGCATATAAAGAACGCTCAGTCGTTCTTACTCATTTCACTCGTCAGAACGCTTCATCCTTCGTAATTGGATAATTTCGTTTTCTCTATTTTACTCAACAAACACGACAGACCTTTTGTGACGACCTAATAGTTTTTTAATACACGTGTTTTTTTCTCCAGACGGATAACGAATACCTGAAAATTTCTGTAAAGTGTACGAATAATTAATTTTTTTTTAAATGTCTCCTCTTTCTGCGACTCGACGTGTCGATTTTAGGACAGGCAGCGCCTGACGATTTAGCGTATCTCTCACGAGTGCCTACACTCGATTCGTTCGCGAGCGATGCCGGAGCAGCCTCCGCGGTCCGCAGACGCGAGGACTCGTAGAGAACGAAGAAACGTAGTCAGTCACACTTCCCGGACGTCTATTTGTATATATACCCGCTCATGACAGAATAAAATTTGATGTACATATTTAATCGTACCGTATTGTTTGAACAGGGCCTCCTTTATTGAAATAAAAATACAAACGATG